AGTACCTTCGCGGTCTGTTGTTAATTTAAATTCACGCGTTTCAATCACCCACTTGCTTGTTGAAGGTCATCGAATACGAAGAGGAGAAAATTGTTTTGATCGCACTCGTATTTCCGGCATAATGCAGCATCAATGCAGAAACAGCGAAGACTTTTCTGCAGCAGCTCTGCATTTGCATACTGAAATCAAAGGGGCTGTGATCTGCACCATTTTTTCCCCTGTTTGTTGTTGTTGTTGTTTTTTCTTTGTTCTCTGCATGCTTCAGATCTGGGTCTGTCATCTATTCGGCAGTACCCGCTGTCAGATATTACGTGAGCATTTTAATTTGTGACCCGTACTCTGGGCGCAAGCCAGTCAGAAGCGACGATATGCGAGGGTGCCAGGCATAAAAATTAACCACCGAATCTGCCGGGATACCACGGGCGTTCGCTTTGTCCATTATGGAATAAACAACTGCTTAATAGAATTAAAACACTTAGAATTCGTTCTGGTTTCAAGTTCACCTTTTCCACCGTTTACTCGCCAACGCCGTCTTTGAAAGGTCACAGATCGTCCGTTTCGCTCGGTACACAAAAAAGAGTGGGTTCAGCAACAAAAGGAACAGATTGAAATTATTGTCACTTTCCGTACTCAGAAAGCTTTCGCTCACGAAAGCTTCATCGTTCACCTCGCTAATATCAAAAACGGTAAAGATTTGAGATTGAAAGTGGTCACAACAAGGTCAAGTGATTTCATTCCATGTGTAGTAGCAACCGTGCGAGGGCGAAAATGGGTCGCTTTTAAAAAAAAGAATTATCTCAAATGACGTTCATGTCATAAAAAAAGACTCTGAGTGAAAAAACTTTGCATCTTCTGCCTCAAAAAACTTAGGTTTTGCACTTGAGTAAATGCTCCTGTCGTTTCTATGACAACTTTCAGCGCCATGTTCCCGACTCGTCTCAGACATGTGGGTGCACTGAACCAATTCAAGCTGCATTGAAAATAGTGTAAAATCAACCAAGTTTGGAGCCCCATGGCAGGCAACTGAAGTCCCTCTCAAACAAAACAAATGTGTTGTTTGGTCCTTCAGATTTTATTTGATTTTCAATTTTTGGTAGGGAAAGCAATGACGTTTTTTTAATTATCCGCCCAAAACAAACTCACCCTCAAAAAAGTGAATGTTGCGAAGCCTTCCCAGCGGCCATTTTTTCAAATGACATCCCTCACCTTCCTCGGGCTCTTCTGACTAATTTTCAATCCCATTTTTGTTTGCTTTGCCCCCAGATGGGTGCCCCTGAATCTACAGAAATGATCCTGGGCCATACTGACACAATCCCACCATTTCTTGGCCCAAACAGACCCCTCTTTTTTGAAACAATCCCTGGGAGGTACTTTTTGTGCGCCTCGGCCTGGCGGAGAATTTTCCTTGAGTTGGGACACTGCATCCTTGTGTCTTGTAGAATGTTAAAAATGGCAGGTTTTCATCAGCTTCCGAAACAGGGGGTGTTGTCCAGTAAACAAACTCGCAACGTCAAATCGAAAATCAGTTGAAATCCGTGGGGTCCCCGATCACGAGGTTAAGGAAAAATTGTGACGGAATGAGAAAATGGCAGAAGTGGGAGGTTGTTATTGCCAAGCAATGCAGAGATGGGACATCGATCTTTGTTTATATGTCCACACGCAAGCTCGTGATTGTTGTCCCGGGAGTCATGCGGAAGAATGGAGATATTCACTGCATGCTGAGCCGGTCTGACGAAAGGGAAGGCATTGTCTGAACATCAGGCGAAGTGGTATGACTTACTCCCGCCAAAAAGGTTACGTCATTGATCAAAAATGAACTGGTATATTTCAAACTTCACAATTTGGTAAAACCACAGAAAGATTATATTTTCAAGGACATGTCAGTTAACGCCTTAGCGCTTTGAAGAGCTTCATAACAAGTTTAACAGCACGCTGCACAAACGAGCTGTCCGTTTGCAACCACTTTCTCTGTTTGTATGTTAGAATCAAGCAGATACTCAACTTTATCATGTGAATAAAGTACAAAAAACTAACCCAACAGCCGACATAATTCCTTTGTTTGGCGGCCTGATTTGACACAGTTAAATCTATTCATGATAATCAAATATGATTGTGGCACAACACAACACAGAGTGTTGATATACTTTTTACTCGAAATCAAATTCTTTTATAAGCATAAGCAGTAATACCTGTGAAGTTACCACACAGGATCAACCTGCCACTCAAAGCCACAATTATTTTCTTGAGTGAAATAACGGAGGAGGGACGAACACAATATTTGGGTCGGTCAGATTCGACAATTGACGAAAATGCCGCGACATATCGACCTTATTCAATTGACGCAATTTGTCAACAACCTCCATCCCAAAGTGGGGCCCCGACTTGGGTGTAACAACCAACAGTGTTTTCCGTGGCACAGGTTATGTATTGCAATTGATGCACCCAGCAATAAAATTTATAAATAAATAGGTCTTTGAGCAAGCTTAGTCTTGACCTGGAGAGAAAATCAAATTACATGTACTCAATTTTCGTACCTGAACGGTATGTACTTTTAATGGAAAGTACCGTGATTCTCTATTCTCGTTATGCTCCAGCGAGACTTCACATTAAGATATTAACCAAACAAGACCAAACAACTATTTCAAAGACGGATTTGCGTCGGGGACAAAACAGACCAGACAAGGAATGCATGTTCTTCATGGAGGCCATTCTTCTGGTACGAGCTTTTGTTCCACAGGGACACAAAACAGTTTCTGGAAACATGGCAGTCATGCACAACCTCTATTGTGTTCAGTGGCAACAAAGGTCATTCTGAATGTGTCATCCGTTGGATACGATCCCGGTATCTGTGTTACACCAAGTTGGACGCCAGGTGGGCCGTGTTGGACACAATGCATGTGTCTATGGGTATTTTATGAAGCAGGGTTGATCGTTTTCACAGCTGATGAGTGCTTCCCCCCCCCGATACCCCCCCGGGGAAAATGGTTTGCCCCCCCCCCTCGTAAAAACTCCTGGCAACGCCTACGCGTTTGCCTAATCGAGGTCATGTGAAAGTTGCCAACCTTAATTTCAGTACGATCAGCAACAACCGTGGAGTATTTATGCAAGACGAATACCTTTTACAGCGTCCTGGGGCAGCCGCTGCATAGCGGCAGCTTCAGGCGAGCTGCCCGCTGGAGTACACATATCAATTTCGTTCACTCCTCTAAAATCGAAGAAGACAAATAAAAGACAAAGGTTTAAAAAAAAAAATTCAACTCCCGACGGGAAAAAAGAATGATTGTCTGTGTGTAAGATAATCCGTTCCCGACAAAGTTCTGAGCCGGTAAACCTCATCATATAGAAAGTCCAGAGCAGCTTTCCCATGTCAGCGAACCATTAAACTGCTTATGTAGCGGAAACCAAAATGAATTTTTAGTCGTGCAGAATTTTTTAGTGGCTATTATTTCATTTTGCTACATTTCTAATTTGGTATTTGGTCAGTCAATTTTAAATGAAAAGGCTTTTCATTAACCATAAATTATGGATGGACAAATATTGCCGTGCGACGCCGCCAATGTGCAAGATGATAAGACATGTAATATAAAATAACAACGGCTCAGGCTGTCCACAATTAATTGGAGAAAGAAACGATATGGAGGGAGCCAAATAAATGAGCCTTAAGCCGCAAAGTACACCGCACTTCCAAGAGCTAATGTCTCCCCAAGCGATACAAACGATACGAACGCAGTCGTGTGTGAAGCAATCTTGGTCAGGTAATGACGCACTGATTACTCGTCCATTTTGGAAATGCTGAGCTGTATGTGCGCGTGCACGTGCAACAAACATTCGAGGGACCCTGACGCTCAAACGACGGCTCCATGTCTCCATTGTGTCCAATGCCGTCTGGAGAGAATACAAAGGGAACCGTGAGACTTCGGCAATGAAAAAGGGAACACGAGAGAAAAATTTTACAACTTGCTTTAAAATAGAACAGGGCTGATATTTATTCAAAGGCTTGCCTTGGGAAAAAAAACAACAAAACAATACGCCTTTTCACGTCCATTACGTCAAAACCGACATTACTGCACCCTACTACTCAGTAAACTGCTTGGTTTCCGTGCGAGATACGGATCGCGTAAAGGATCCATATTTCATCGAATGAATGAATGCTTTTTGTGAGAGGGTTTGTGTTTGGGGTGGTTCGCATTACTCACAACGTGTGAGCAAATCAGATAGCGACAAAGGTTTCCACTGCCTGCCATTTTAGCGCCGGGCGTCCGTGGCATAATCAGGTTTTTGTTTCAAGGGCATAGTGGTGGCTTTTTCTGAACCGAATCTCCAAATGTTTGTAATCAGAAAGAGCATCAATTTCCTCTCCTGAAAGGTAACAGTACCGTTTCTAAATGTCGGCGCGTCTTATTCCTTTCAATAATGACAACACATGAAATCTCAAGGGGGTAACTGATGCATTTACTGGAGACATGCAAAACGTTTTCGGTGAAAATCTTTTCTCTTTCTGCGTATGGTTTGTGTCGTTTTCTTTTCCGATTAAACGCACTGATAAGAAGAAAATCAATCGCCTCGAGATATCTGATGACAAAAAGACGATGAAATAGCCTCCTCGACTCCCGTTGGCCCCATCCACAAAAGAGACGACGCTTGGCCGACAGCCTAGGCATGCTGTAGCACATGGCCCAACCACTCTGGCGAGACGCAGATGGCGCATCGATTCGAACGAAAAATACAATAAAATGCAATCCATTAACGTTCTCGATTTCCTGGTATAACTCGAGAACACTTCCAAGGTTTCCAGCCATTATCCACCAAGGCTTACAATCTCAATTCTCGCTCATACATGATGCATGTCTTGACATCATGCATATTCGTCAGTAATTGATATGGTCTTCACCAACTCCATCCAAATAAATTAATCCAAGTTGGCACAACCACGTCAGCCTTTTAACGTCAACCTCATAGATGTATCTGTTTGAAGATCAAGGGACAAGTAAAGTAATCTTTTCAGCGTCAACAGGGCAAGGCCTCGTCGTTGTCAAGTGGACTTATACTGCATCCAAGTCGGCCTTCAAATGTCTAGAACAGCAAAACCGACGCGTGCAAACTCCGCACACACATACGACAAGTGCGCTCCGCTAGTGCTGCTCTTGTGGCGATGGGACCCAGTCACGTACCTCGGCCGAGGGCCTAATTGAATCGGCGTAGTTTTCTCGGCAATGTGCCAGGTGCGACAGACCCGGTGAAGATCGCACTGACGAGGAGGCTCCCTCGAGCAAAACAGTCGAATCGACTGTAGCTGAATCAGGACTCGTCCGCGGGGCAGTCTAACAGCGTCTCACACAAGTGCCTGGTCTCAAAAGTTATTTTGAATTCCTGCATGGAGGAATGGACGACTGATTGCGGGAATCGAGTGACGGGAAATTCGAATCAAGTTTGCTTGTTCCATTTGAGCAGGAGCATTCAAAAACGTGAACAGCTGGCGTTTTAAACAAAATCAAAACTCAACGTCTAACTCACCCAAGAAGGACTGAAGTTAAGGATCTGTTTCAGTTAACGATTGGAAATGTCATTCTAATTCTTCCGAGGTTTCATCCGACGATCTGCAGTCACAACTGATCGTCGGAATCTGAATCAGATCTCTTGCCCTTTCTTTAAACGGCTGGTAGATTTTGAGAAATATTTTGTCGTCATCTTTGGACCTGTGGTCACAGCTTTTCGAGACATGGCGTACGAGGTGTCCCCCATATTCATCGTGCAGGGCATCGTGGGAGTGTTGGGCATGCTGGGCAACGCCCTGGTTTGCTTGGTCATCTGGCAGGACCGCGCCATGCACACCTTGACCAACGCCTTCATCTTCAACCAAGCCACCGTCGACTTTCTCGGCTCCATCGTGATGCTGCTCAGCAGCGTCGTCCCCATATCCAGGCCCCTGCCTGGCGGCGTGGCCGGCCTGCTCCTCTGCAAGATCTGGATCTCAAACTATTTCCTCTGGGCCTTCTACGTCGTCTCCTCCTTCAACTTGGTGGCCCTCACCTTCGAGAGGTACCTGGCCATCGTTTACCCCTTCAAGTTTCAGACCATCTGCAGCCGTGTCGGAGCCGCGGTCGCCATAACCTGCGTCTGGTTGGCCGGCTTGGCGGTGGCCGTTTATGCCACGGAGCTCTACCGATTCGATGTAGACCACTGTCATCGCTATTTCGACTTCAAACTGCGAGTCATCGGTGTCCTGGTGCCCGGCCTGCAGTTTTTCATCCCGGTCGCCTCCATGCTCTTCGCCTACACCCACATCATGGTGGAGCTCAAGCGCAGCGCTCGCCGACACGCCAACATTAGCGTCGTCTCTGGGCCATCCAACCATGCCAACCCGGTCCACGAGTCGGCTGACGAGTCCCTCTTGCGGGCCCGCCGCAACACCTTCAAGACCCTGGTGATGGTCTTTGCGGCCTTCGTCTGTTGCTGGTCCCTCAACGCCTCCCTCCTTCTCAGCGCCAACCTGGGCGCCCCCTTCGACGATGCCTCCCCCCAGTACATCATCTCAGTGGCTCTGGTGGCAGCGAACTCTGCTGTCAACCCGCTCATCTATGCCTTCAAGTATAAGCAGTTCCAGGCCGGCTTCAAGAAGTTGTTCTGTCGTGGACGCGGAGGCGCGACAGTTCAGCCCGAAACCAGTTTAAACTCAGTAAATACCAGAGCTACAGAAGTGACTGTCGGTGTCTGAGAAGACACTGAACTTGAACATCTTGAACTGAACATAAACTTCAACGGGTAAGGCATTGGCAGTGTACGTTTTTAAAGTGGAACCGTCAATGTAAAGTTGGAACTCGTTGTTTATCAAGTTTAAAAATATATCTGCATATCAGATTTTTCATCCCATAAAAAAGGTGAACCAGAGACATGAAATGCTGTGAAAAACAGCCAAAGCAACCTGCTGGGCTGGGCTGGTATCTATCATTGCTTTGACCAATGATAGAGAAACTAGGAACCAGTCTATTGAGACTGTTGTGCAGTATGGCATTGTGTGCTCTCGTGACGGGGACTTTCCACGTCCAGCATTGATCTCTCTGAGTCCGCAGCCAAGGTTGAATCAGCACAAACACAGCGACAGCGTTGTTTATTGTGCCCCAAAGTAGTAAAGTGAAACATGAAACTATTCTGCAACTTCAACTGACATGCTTCAAATGTAACTTAGTATTGTCACACAAGTTGTGATTAACTTTGTGTCCTGTAATATAATATTTTAGGTTAACGATGGTATTGTTGGAATTCCTTGGTGGCAACCGTGTCACTTCGTGAAAACAGTGACAAAATAATACTTCACGTTATGATGAATGCTCTTATTGGAAGAGCCACAGCCACAATTGCTTATTCAAACAGCCAACCAAGTATGCCGAACCAGTCTACAATGGTACTTTAAAACAACAGTGAGGATGACCAATAGCTTTTGTTATGTTCAAAAATCTTTCTGCCTACTTCTTAAAGGGTAGCCGCAATGGCTCTATCTTAGATCCAGGTTTTCTGCAACTTTGTACTATTATTCAATGTGTGAACATTCTTTGACACTGCTGTTTAGTTAAATGTAGAGAAAAGCGCACTTTTTAAACATTTAAAATATCCACGCTTTCCTGGACAACTGAGGGCGCTGTCGCTGTGATGTCATCTAGGGAATACATAGTTCATTGCACAGGTTTTTGTAATAAACATGTGAACCCAGAATATTCTCACTGAAAATATTTCTTAGAAAAACACTGGTACTCACTTATTGCTATGAAAGTAAACAACAACGAAGAGGCAAAGAACAGAAAATTTAGTCCAGTCAAATCTACAAAATGCATCACTTTTTTCATCATGGAATGGCATCACAGTTTTGCTCATAAATATGGAAATCTCATAAGCATAAAACCAACAGCGCAGCAAAATACCCCATGAAATAGTGAGACAAAAGTTGGCAATTGGGTTAAATGAGACACAGGTGCATTTTGAGGGTTTGTAGTATTGCATTATAACAAATTGATTTTGTTACCCTGTATGAAAACTCCATTTTAAGAAACGAGGGTTCGATTTCAGACCAGCAGTAATCGCTACAAATATTTGGTACGCACGCACAAACTGTGAGAGTTTTCGAAAATAGCGGGGGCTTGGAAGCGACTGACATGTTCGCATGCACAAACCCACTTAATTGTCAAATATCTGTTATTTTCTTGATGACACTACATCGCTGTAACCGCACATCCACTTTCGGTCAAAGTGAACTTTCTTTTAGGCACGGATGTGCTTAGATGATGAATGTATTTTGATTTACAAACGATTACTTCTTAACCAGTGACACAAGTGTAACCAAGAGGTCAGACGAGAGGAAAATGTTTTAGGAGCATGACATAAATCAACTACGCCACTTGTACTTCAGTGGGTTTGAAACCAGTAAAAGAATAAAGAAAACAGGAATGTTGTGGCACGTACGAACACTATTGCCTATTAGATATCTTATTTAAAAGTTTGTACAAAGCTGGGTGGCTTATTTGACTTATATATAATAAAGAAAACGACAGTCAATTCTTTTGACCTGTAATAGATGCTCACAAGAAAAGAAGTTAATTATTCGATATACAAACGATTTGCATTCACATTTTACTATCAGTTTAAGTCCATTTTACAACCAAGTCCACAGCGTTTGAAGTATTTTCCAAGATACCAACAGGTTGCTTATGCTACAGATTCATATAGATAATCAGAAGTTGGTGGGATTCGGCAACTTCGCGACTCGGTTGTAATTTTAACACTTTCGAAGCAATGTACAGTATAACGGATTTCACCAAATATGCGTCAAATCAGTGTAAGCTAAGATCACCGACAAATTACACTCCCTTTCCCCAATGTAATTTTCATTCTCAGATTTTTTTCTGGGATTCTCCTTTATTGTTCACTGTGTCCTTTTAAACATCCATGCTATCAATTTATAAAATAAGAAATACAGATTAAAATTTCAATAATACTAAAAACCTACTAGCCTTGGCCTAATATGACTAATTGGTCCCATTTCTTGTGAAATTTGGAGCTAGTTCAAGTTCCATAAAACATGAATTTTTCCATCAAATAAATAAAATCCTTTTTTAAGACAGAAATTGAGGGTCGTTTTTTATTCATTTTCATTTTATACACATGGAATCTACAGATGAACAATATTAAAGTAACCACTTTACCATGACGTGTAACATTGGTGTTGCTAAATGAAAAGACGTTATTGTCCCTCGCAATAGACGGATTGGTCTTCTCTTTAATCCATAGAAATACCGAGGACCAAAAAAAGATAGAGTAGGTACACGAGCAAAAAAGATGAACAAGTGTCTCCTCTTCCTCGTTACAGAATGTACAAAGATTGGTGTCTGCCTTACCAATCTTAGACAACAATAAATTAGTTCCCAGGATCCGGTGTATTAATATAAATTGGAACCAACGTAGTTTAGTGTCAACTGTTCAAGTATTTAAAATTAAAGACCACTTCGAAAAATCAAAATCTATATTCAGTTTAACATTCCACTTATCTATGAATTTTCTTGGCACACGTTTAGAAGACACTAAAACATCATAGATCCCTCGTGATCCTTTCTGGTCCTTTAAGAGCGCTTGAAGTTGAACGGCAAAAATGGGAAGTAAATAACTGAACTGTCTGACATGAATTCTCTAAAAGACAACTTAATTGCTCTCAACACTCCACCGTACTCTAAAAAGTTGGTGTTGACATCAAATACATTCTTAAACTCATCCAGAGAAACAAAAATGCCATTCTCATTTATTAAATCACCAATAAACTTAACACCTTTACTCAACCAATGTTTGTAATAAATACATCTGCCATTAATCTTAATTTTATCATTGAACCAAAGAGAACTCCTCCATACCTCCGCTTTCGTTGTAGGCAAATGGGCCCGAGTAAAGTTAGACCATGCTGTAAACACATCGAACTAAAAGGCGTTACGAACTATCCAGGCACCAATCGATTTAATTGAACCACCTTCCACTAAGGACAATCGGGAGATATCAAAAATACAGTTGCACAAAGTAGACCTACCTGAGGGCTGAGCTTTAAGGAGTCTACGTAACCGGGTAACTTTCAGAGCTTCTAAATAAAGCCGAACGTCAACCATTTGCAACCCAACCTGACCACAATCTTGGATAATTTGGTTTCTGGCCACTCAGTCGTGTCTTTTCCAAATAAAATTAAAAACCAGACTATTTAACTCCTTAATCATATCACAGGGAGGATCAGGAAGGGTTAACACAAGGTAGATAAGTTTTGACACAAGTAATGATTTAACTAAAGCAATTCTGCCCAACACTGTTAAATGTCTCTTTGACCAATTAAAAATTTGGCCACGTTACGTCGGGATAATCCTATTGTAATTCAGCGAAATCATAGAGTTAAGATCAGTGGAGAAGTCAATACCAAGAGTTCTAAAAGGTTGCTTAGCCGCGACCCAGTTCGCGTTGATCTCTTCACAAAGCTTATCCTCACTATCTTTCATTGAACCAACCCAAATGGCATTCGTCTTCTCAACGTTAATCTTTAAACCAGACATATCAGCAAATTGGTCAAGAATTCTGAAAGCAGCCTGCATTGACTTCGCTGAGCCATTCGCGAACAAAACCGTGTCGTCAGCATACTGGGATGTTCGAAATTCCCTTCCCTCAACCGCAATGCCTTGAAGATCTTTATCGATCTTTATTCTCAGATTTTAAGAAGAAATTGTACACACAGTGTATAATACATCAAACCTACCAACAGCGTACAGCTGGTTATATGAAGAAATTGCTACACTGTTATTATGTTGTGTGAGGGACCCACAGGGTGGCTGTAAAAATACAAGGAAATAACAGAGGGATTTCACATTAGCGCCGTCTGCGCATATCTGCATCGAAACCGAGGCTCTCTGTGTTGAACTTTAACGTTAACTTTATCATTTAATGATGTCTCCCTGAGGTCGCAAAATTTATCTCCCTAATCATTAGGGAGACATGCCCCAGCTACCAGAAGGAGGCCGAATATCTTTGACGTCATGCCGCCCACGAGAATTCATAATTTTTATATTATGATGTATTTTACATTTACTCAACAATAAAGATCAACAGTAATACTCCGCTCGGTTTGAATTTGTAAAAACCACAAACATGTACATGTATAGGGTAACAGGACGTAAAACACTAGTTCAAGGATAAAGAGTTTCAGCCAGGGCCAGCAGGGCCTTCTTCTTGTATCGACCAGATTATCCCCGTGTAGTAAACCGAACGCAAGACCGTTCAGCATGTGCTCGCCCTCTCTCGTTTATTAATGTCCAAGGACTATAGTAATATACCAGGCACGAAATGGGACAGAGGGGTACCCCCAACAAGTCCAATTCCTATACACACTCCAGCCTATTGTCACACCCCCAGGTGTCTGAAAAGAATTCCTAAGTTACCAATATAGCAATGACCAACCAAAGGCGGGGGGGGGAGCTCTCTCTGTCCAATAGTTTGCTTCATATGTAGGATTAGATCAGACCGAGGTTCACCCACTGGCTACCACATAGTGCCGCGTACAGCCCTTTGTCCGAAAGATTATCCCCCATTACCTGGCGCCGCGCATAGGGTGTGCCACAGGAAATAAATTCCTATAGACAGCAGTGATAAATCGACATACTTCACAAATATATAAAAAAATACAACTCTCACAGGTGTCCAGGTTGGACAGAAAAATGATGTTGGACATGTCCTCTTTCATTTTCCTTTTAATTTTTAGTGGGTTAACCGATGAATGTTGAGAAATTCTCATCCAAAGCAAATTGGAGGAAATTTCACTGCCCGGAAAGTAGTCATTTTGAAAATGCATCCCTCTGTAAAACGGCTAAACAGTCTCACTTTCGCACCCGATTGCATCCAAATTGCTCAGAATTGAAAGCCCTGAGGTCGGGCCAGAGATTCAGTGCCATGTTTCTTTAATTCCCCAATTCCATGACTCTCAAGACCCTTTATAGTATGTAGAATATTTTGAGTGTATAACTTTTATTAATGGGCTTAGCGGAGTGTGGCTTTCAGCTGGTCGCTCCATATTCTACGCATTTCCTTGGGAGCCATTCCGTGAGAATTAATCAAAGTTTTATAGAGTTTACGGGAGTAGTTGACATGATGTAGGTTAAAATCTTTGTTTCCAATGGGTATAATATTCAGTAGCTTCAAACACACACCGACAAAGACGTCCTCAATTGGAAGGTATCTGGTGTCAAGCGACTTTTCGTAAACTTTACGGACTACGTCGTTCGACAATACGTACCCCCCTCCTGTGACGTATGATGGATACACCGGGTCAGGAAACAACTGCTTCGGCATGTACCACTTGTTGTTAGGTCTCCGACGGGGAGCTGATCTGATGGCAAGATACCCAACTGTGTAGTTTGTAGACGGGGTTGTTGCATTGGTGAGGAGCTTGATGAGATTGTCGTAGCTGATGTACATGTCGTCGTCCGTCTTCATGACGTAGGAGGCCTGGGGACAGTGCGTACTGGCCCACTTCATCCCCATGATGGTCTTCAGCGTCATGTTCCTGTAGGCGTCTTGGAAGTCCTCCTGGAGCACATCGTGGTGCTTTCTAGACTCCTCCTCCAGCTGTCGCTGAAGGTTCGCGTTTCCATTGTATCCAAACAGAAACAGCGTGACAATCTCCTTGCCCCTCACCTCCCGCGGGCTTCCCCAGGTCTCGCGAATGGCCTGTCGCTGCTCGATGTGTGCGTGAATGCTGGTTACAAACACCAGCAAAAACACTTCCTTGGGAGCTCCTGCAGCATCCAAACAAGCTTGAGGCTCATCTATGAGCAAACCGTATCCATGCGGATTAATGACTTGCCCGGAACCATTTCGATCCTGTGAACTCGGAGTCACAGCTCTTATCACGTCTGAGTTATTCATCGGGGGGGTAGGTTTTTCACCAGTAATGGAACCAATGCTCGTTTTTTGGTCGTGTGAGGTCAGTAACTTCACAGGGACTGAGTCATTGCTGACTTCTCTGGACGTAAAGTTACTGCCAGTTGATAACTTTATATTGTGAGTATAAACCACACTCTCCCCTTTTCTTGGCGAGTCTTTCCTTTGGATAATGCTCTCCGAGTTAGTGACGCTTGCTACCTTCGCTGTGGGAGTCCGTCCGGAGTTCCCATACGAGAGCAGCATGAACAGGCCACAGATCTGGCACAGGATTACTGCCCAGATTGTCGCTATCAGTAAACAGTTCTTGCGTGTCATTCTTAAACGCCCAGCTCACCAGCTGTTTATGAAATCGAATCAGTTAATCCGAGAGCTCTCCTTTTGACCAATCCAGTTGTCCTAATATGGAATCCTCCACGACAGGCTCCGTCTTTAAATGGCAAAATGAAAACTGAAGATGAAACGGGGTACTTGTCTGAAAAGATACTTGCCTGGTAAATCAGGAATCGAGTACGCATCACGGAAAGAGTCGGACTTCAAGCTTCTATAACGCAAGCCTACATGCATCAGCAAACGATACATGTAAGTACAGCGAGTTTACTTTGTCTCATAACACTCAATTTCCCAGCTCCAATGTGCAGACTACGCCTTATTCTTCAGGCTGATACAAATTTCAGTCGAGCAATCCTGATATGCTCCAGTTTAGGGGAATAAGAAACCCGAAGAATCCTTGTACCTTCTGCTGTCTCTGAAGTGACGAAGTTGTCAGGATACCTTTTACCGCCACGCATTAGCACTTGCAGTATGTGCACATACATTGCCACGTAAAGTGGTTTGTAATTTTTTTCTCAAATTTCCCTTTGAATGGGATGCCTAAACAGATTCTCATTGCAATGTAGCCCACTTAGCAGACCTTTCATTTGCATTTCAACGTGTTTGACACACCTGCATTGATGTCCGTTGAATGTTCGTTCCACTTCGAAGCCCTTTCAAAAAACATTAACCCTCCCTAACAGAGAACCCAAGTGAATACATATGAAAAATTCTTTGTCAGTTTCCTTTTGATGCAAGACTGGTTTAGGCGATGCATATCCCCTTAACGCATGCGCAGACGTCTTCATTAAGCAGTAAATAGATGGATAAAGTCACTTGGCAAAATGGTCAAATATTAGACAAGTTTAGTAAGAGGTGACTAAAATAAAAACTTCAACTATTCTGCAAATTAAACTGACGTGTTTGAAATACAATTTAGTATTATTACACGAGTTATGTCAACTACAAGTCGTGTAGCAACGGTCACTACTTTGTGTTGGAATAACTTTGTGGTAACACAAGCGGTGTCACTTCGTGAAAACAGTGACGCCATATACTCCACGATATAATGGATGCTCTCACTGAAAGTGTCATAAATCAAGACAGCTTCAACAAGAAGCCTGGTATCCTAAAACACTCTACATACAAATGTACTTCATAGAATGGAAATTCACAGTAAGTACATTAATGTTCTAAAGTTCTATCTACAAAACATTTAAGAATACTCCATTTCCAAAAACAAGCGTTCAAAATCAGACTAGGACAATCACATCTTTGGTAATATATGTGCAAACAGTGTGAGTTTCCAAAATTGCGCGACGTTTGGAACAACCGACATGTCTGCACCCACCAACCCGCTTAATTTTCAAATATGTTATTTTCTTGATGGTACTGCATGGCCGGAACTGCCTGTCCATTTCAGGCAATCATTTGTTTTGGATGATGAATGTATTTTGTTTTAAAAACGATGACGTTTCTTCTGATAATGTAACTTATTATCAACTTATTCCAAATAGGGCTCAGATGGTCTTGCTCTTCAAAATACAAGGTGAGCCTCACGTATGCTTCAACCGGCCACTCTCATGAGCTATATTAAAGTTGAACTACGTTTTGTTCACATGTTTTTTTTTTGTCATGCAAGGTTTGCCCAGACAATTTGAGGGAACCAGAGAGATTTCTGTTACCCTAGATGCAGGAAAACCGTAATAAGCAGATACAAGGGATTTGTTTGAATCAGTTTTCTGTTTTGTTTCCATCCTTCTCTTCAGATCCCCGTTATCGAATTTCACTGCAGCATATTATCTCAGAAGGAATTATGAATGTTTCTGCTACCAGACGCCTGGTCGCGGCACGCTGTTAACATGGTCAGTTAGTGTTCACAAACTTGCTGATTAAGTTACCGGTATGTCTTTTTCACACAATTGGGTTGCTCTAGATTATGCTTAAAATGTTATCGGTTGTGCCAGACCAGACGGATTTAATAACAGCATGAAGGAGTGAAGGTTACTAATACTTTCAAACGTTTTCTGCATTACAAGCTTTCTACATTTTTTGGGCCCAGGCCTAATTTTCTGATTCGCAAAAAAATATTCACAAACGCGACAATATCCCACGATGGCTACTTCCCTACAAGTGCATGTCTCTCATGGAAATTTCAACAAAATTAATCTTTCTCCAATTTTGGACTTCTCTCTTATTTCTTTGTGTCTCTGGTGACGGTAAAGAAGTTGTGTGTTGTTGGTACAAATAATGGAGGAACATCGCACGCCTGTGTATGTTTCCGTATGGGTGTTGCGGTTGAGCGAGTTTTCCCATGCCCTCCGTACTAGCAAGGGAACGCCCTTAACCATGAGCAGCCATATTGCGTTACACTTTTTTTTCGGCGACTGTCCAATCTTGGCTGTTCTTTGCATTGCAAATCCAGTAGACTTGAATCAAATCGGAATTACGTTGGTCTTCCCGAGTCAGCCATCCCTTCACATATAGAGTACACGGTCGTCGTGCTCGGCCCGGCAGCTCATGACCCTTATTATAAGGCGCCCTCATTTGATAGCACAACGTCTGTCATACGTCACCAACCAGTAAGTCCGACTTCAGTGACGGATAAGCCAATCGGACCCCCTATGTATTCATAATTGCATATGAACGACACGATCTTGCATAATGTGTGGAATTTCCACCGATCAAGTAGTCAGACTTATAGACTGGTTCGTTATAATGTAGGTATGAACGACGTAAAAACAAGTCCAGAGACTGACTGCTTCCATTTTTTGGTAGATGACCCCGTTCGCTGTGTACAAACAGGTGGCAGATTCGCCAAGTCGAGATTTCTGAACTTTACTCATAGCAATAAGAGGACACAAGAGGGCGCAAAGCAAACAACGGCGCACGGTCTCGATATGCATCCAAAGCATAAACAAAGACTTCGGAGAGATCCCGACTTTAGTCAAGTCTACAAAACCCAGTTCCTGCCGCATACATTTAGCGTATTCTACATGTATACACAGCACTTCAGAGTTCGTGAACAAAAACAAAGTACCTACGGGTCTAGGACAGTCTTTCTATTTATAGATGCAGCGCGGATCCGTTCGCTTCCTCAAAGTCTCCATATCATCATTGAGCAAAAACAGATCTACATGCTCCCCCCCGCAAAAAAATGATAATTCGAGTAACTTATTTTTCCAGTTGTGACGCATGAGGGGAAATCTACAAAGAGAAGCAAATTTTAACGCAACTATTGACAGCCGGAACAAAATTCAGTTAATACTTCGATAATTTCTTTTGCGCCCATAAAAGAGCCGATGTTCAGACTTTAGCCCCAACAATCCCAAATCATCCGATTTCAATGGATCTACATACACCCTAGGGGGTTAGAGCTCTGAATCTAGCCAGAATATTTTGTTTGAAGAACCACACTAGCACATTTACAAGCAGTAGTTTTTTGACAGAAAAAAAAATGACAACCCAGGTGAATGTACTCATGCTCTCCTTCCGGTACCATCAAGCAGCAGCGTATCCGGTTTTTAGTGGGGCAATTCAAAAGCAAATACGGCCTCGGGCGTATTTGACTTGAGTTGACATGATATTTGACAAGCACGGGTGGCTTAATTGTGCGTAAAGTACTCACCTCTCACCACTGTGGTCCTGGGTTCGATTCCCGGCCCTGCAATATGTGAGTAGAGGTGTTCGTTGGTTCCCCTCCCTCCGCGGAAAAACAATCTCCAGCTGTGCTCCGTGGTCAGTTTGAGTCGTCTGCTAGCTGCCTACGGCGCCCTTGCATGCATTCGGCTCGACCATGTTGTAGAGGCGTAATTCAACCTACGGTCTGCCTTGATAATAGCCCCACAAATAGGGCTGTAGTGGCTCTCTTTTACAATCTGTCTCTCATCTGTCGCCACCACAGTCCTACTTCAAATGCCTGAAATCCAAACTGCAGGATTGTCACAAACTTTGAATCCTAATATCTTCCGAAATGAGAACGACTCGACAATTTTACTTACACTGGCGTATTCCTCAAGAGTTTGGTTTTTTATATGAACACCCTAAAGCTGTCCAAAACCGTTTATTTTTCCGATGCATGGCGCCTTGAAAAACCGGCCTGTAGTATTACATGCTGACCATCAAGGGCGGCGCCATTTTGAAAAACGAAAGCAGCACTTCTTCCGTCGGATTTCAAGGCACCCGACGGGCGCTCTGGTATACGTTGTACCATACAAAACTGGTTCCCCGTCATACCTTACCAACAAGGAACATTAATATTCACGTACCTGTATCATGCTCCAGACACGCGCAGTGGGCGGACTGTGCACTAGCAAAATGCGCGCGCAACTTATTACTAAGCAATACTGTCTTCTGCAGCGTTCGTGACTAGCGGTGGCAAGCCAGCTTGGGGACGATCAGCAGAGGTGCCAGTAAGGTTGTAGCGCTTTTCAAGACGCACAGTCGTTGAGTAGTGGACCCCAAACAGCCTGACCACTGCCCGTCGGTTCCTTCCGACTTGGAGCATGCCAATGGCTCGGTCTCTCGCGGGTTGTGACAGTCGCGGCATCATGAATGCGTGATGGCGTCATTTTGGTGTCTTTTAATAGGCAAGGGTTGTGTTCAGGACATGAACGGTCAAACTCATATCTGGGAGACACTCATGTGTAACCATCAGCATAAAATATAAAAACACAATTTTTGGCACTCATCCAAATCACTCAACCGGAACGCGATAAATTCACATTGACGTTTATCTCTACAATGCTCAAAATCTAGAACATGCACCATTTTCACAATGCCGGTCTTACTTCCTAAAATATGAGAATTTTTATGTGGTGCGTTTCTTTGTCCTTGACTGAACATGTAAATTTAACACAAATTTACAACGGTGACGAAAATCACATGAACTAAAAACAGGCGCATGCAGCGAGTGTGCACGTTGCCACTGGTGCAACATGAGACTAAAAGAAATTCTCTCGGGATATTACCTGTTCCTTCATGCTCTAATCAATTCACTCTCAATGTTCCCTTGAAAATAATGATCTAAAAAATGCTAATCTATGGATTGTTTAAAATTTCATTTAGAGGTCTTTTTTCCCGGATACTGACCTAAAACCCAAACGTGGTCACTAAAATTAGTCAGGTGGGCAACTTCACATTTGAATGGGCGGGTAAGAAATTTGGACATGTTCCAATCACATATAGACCATTTCAAAAAGTTAAAGTACAAGGCAAATATGTGTGGTTTTAACAGCCGGAAAACACTAATATAAATGATGAAAAAACTAACGTCCTATGGTGTAAAATGCAGTTTTGAAAACAATCAGCAATGCAGTTGATACACGACTAAAATCCAGTACATGTCAAGATTGCCAACAGTGCAATTGACAAAGTACATGTACATATAAAATCCAGTTTGTCCACGGTTCAATAATTAAAAAATGTACATGTAAATTTTTTGTATTATATGTAAATATATCTGTCTTCTGGAATAACAATCTTTGAATTTTTAAGTGAAATACAGTCGAACCTCGTTAAAAAGAACACTGTTCAGGGGTAATTCGTCGCGGCATTTAGCAGACTCCAAAAAAGAAAATTCATCTGGTGTCCGTATCAGTCCAGCAGAGATGACGTACGATGTTACAGAAGCGTTTCTGTAGTGCTTTGCCACAGTAATGCACAGCTACAAATTTGAAACATTTGCAACTGAAAGCATGCGAATAGGACTGCATTAATGTCTGACGTCCAGCTGAGGGCTTTCCTATGAAGAGCTGGTCCCTTGTTGCTAGGCGGCACAGTGTTTAACTGACTACTGGGTGGCAGTCGGTACCCGGTAATGGTTCCTCCAACATACATGGTACTCCCACTGGAGTTGTAACTGTCGGAGTCATGCCCTCTCACAGGTCCTGTTAAGAGTTCCTCTCAGCTTCTGACTGGACTCGCAAACGGGACAACTTGTGATGGACATGTACGACGGGCTCGACAACCACACTACAAACACGTGGGTGGCGAGAGCGCTGGTCGGCCCTACACTGGGGACGGTGATTCAAGTTTTTCTTTGCTCAGGAAATTTGGGGCCCGAGTTGTGGAGACACAAATTCCTCCCCACAACACGTGTATGTACATGTAATGTACACGTGGTTAAACAGGAGTTGTACATAACACAGTACACGTGCAACGTTTGTGTACTTGTGCACCTTTTGTGTGTAGTTTCACTCATCTTTCTCTGCCAGAGCAGTTCAGTGAACAACATGTATTTACTGTACGTACAAGTCTTCATTGCTTTCGATGTTTGAAGAAATAACGAAATCCGCCTTGCGTAGAAGCACCCCCTCATCGGTTGAAAAGAGCCATGTTTGTCAGGAGTGTTCATTTTGCTGGTAGCGATGCACCCCTAAACGCTTGCATTTCATAATCGCTTGTGAACCAACGAAATGCAGTTCTGGCCAAAATGAACCTCAGTTGCTGAAAACATTGCGCCCCCTCTTGCTTGTCTTGGTCCAGCCCGGGGCTCATAGTGTAACAACGTCAGTATCTTTGGCATACGGGTACCCATGAGATAATGGCAGATTTATTCAAGGTACACGTACAAGGCTCTCCTTTGTCAGCATTTACATGTAGATGCGCTGCGTTTAAATCCTCTTTTGAATCTGTACCTAATAGCCAAGAATTTTTATTTGACCTGGATGTCACATATCCTCAAATCATGTAAGCAGAAAGACTACCTTTTACTGTGCAGTCCTGGGTTTACAGAAAATTTAGAACCCCCACCCCCGATTTTTTTCCTTTATTTCAGGTTAGGCCAAAAAGAAACGGTCTTTCATCTCTGGTCAGTGCGGGCGTCGATTTTAAGCATGTGTGTCCCGTTTTTTTTTTTTCTCTGCGAGAGCTTCAACAGCGCCCTCTATTGTCGCCTGCCTCGACATTTTAGCGGGCAGCACGATCTTAATACTCGGGGCAATATAGCTCCCGACGAGATCGGTGTTGAACAAAGATAGCAGACAATAGATAGGAAGTATTTTGTTGTCTGCTTATAACCATAATGAAGCTGCTCTAGTTCCAAGACTCAACAACGTGTGTCTGCAATTTCCAGTACAATTCTCGCCCGGGGGAGAATTTTTTAAAAAGCCGTGCGCCGCATCAATTCTGGAGCATCAAGTCTGGGCCGTTTTCCAATACTCAACTTGGGCTTCGTTCTAGGTTTAAACTGTTTTTTTTTACTTCCTGACTTTAAGGTTGTAAGCGCAATAGTCTAACAGTGCCACAAAACATCAAGTAAGATGCAAAAGAGCCAAACATTACAGTGCTTTAATCTAAGTTAAATGCTTCAGGCCCACAATCAGGGATTGGTTTCCTACACGAAGCCTGAGACAGAGGCGAAGTTTAGTATCGGAAAACGGCCCTGGCAAGAGACCTCTTCTCTTGGCCTTTACACACCTGAAGCCAGCTGTTGGCTTCACTCATTGGTTGGCTTCACTCATTGGAAAATTCTCTAATTTTCAGTTATTGGAAAATCATGTATGTTATCTTTTGTGACATGCAACGTTCATCACGCTTTCAGGAAATTTTGGAACTTGAAGATATGCTGGGAACAGGAATTTGACCTACTGAAAGCGAAGAACAGGTTTCATTCCAAGTCAACAACTGCTCCATATTATTTGCTACCTAACAGGTGTTATTGTAGGCGATAAGCATTTGGGAATGGCCTTTGTCAAGTGAAATCGATGCTCTTGGTTATGCCCTTGCAGAGGTGATTTCATTTCCACGAGGAAAAGCCATCAGACAGAAATGCTCCAAAATCAGAAGCAGAGAACAACAACCTAGCATCTCACTGCATGCTGGCGGTGCTGGTCCTTCCAAATCCTGTGCATTTCAGAGGGTGAGACCATGTGGGTGGTGATGAGGTTGCGAAAGCGGCAGTATGAGTACACGGTACGCCAATTGTGGAAATCCTTGTGCTTGACGGGCTTGATTTTCAAGTCGTCCAGGCAGACCGCCACGAAGACATCCTCCAGATGGAGGTACTTGTGGTTGAGGGACGATTCATAAATCTTTCCTGCAACATCTCCAGACATCATGTACCCAGTTCCAGACATAAACGGTGGGTATTTGGTACCAGGGTAAATCTCCTTGGGCATGTACCACTTACTCTTTGGGTCCCGAATGGGGCCACCGTTTATCACGTACCCAGCAGCGTAGTTGACCGAAGGAGTCCTGGCATCTCTCAGGTGCTTGACCAGGTTATCGTAGCTGACGTACATGTCGTCGTCCGTCTTCATGACGTAGGAGGCTTGGGGACAGTGCGTGCTGGCCCACTTCATCCCCATGATGGTCTTCAATGTCAGATTCTTGTAGGTGTCTTTAAAGTCCTCTTGGAGGAGATCGTGGTGTTCGCTGCACTCTTCCTCAACCTGCCTCTGGAGCCGGGCATCCTCGTTGTATGCCAGCAAGAACAGGGTGACAACCTGCTTGCCGTCCACCTCCCGCAGGCTCCCCCAGGTCTCCCGGATGGCGTGGCGCTGCTCAAAGTTCTTGTGGATTGTGGAGATGAGCACCAGGAGGAACACATCCTTGGGGGTCCCTGAGGCGTCAAAGCAGGCCTGGGGTTCATCCAGCATCAGTCGATAGCCATGGGGGTTGATGCGTGCCGAATCATCACGGCTGTACAATGCAAACATGCCAATGGCTGGCTGGTCCACACTGTGACTGCCCGGGTCTACTTGACCGACTACATTTGTTGAATTAAAAGATGTCCTGGAAGGTATAACATTGTTTTTTTCTTGTATTCTAGAGCTGTTTGTTGGAATCCTAAAGATAAAACTTCTCCCAGTTTCTTCAGTGTGGACATTTCCCATAGATTCTTTTAAAGTTGGAGGGTGGTATCCATGAACTCCATGCCGTACCAACTCGTCAATATAGCGAATGGCCTTATCATTACTAACAGAGGATTTGGTGGCAGTGGGAGTTCTTCCCAAGAGAAGCGACGAGCGTCCAGACATGAACATGAACACAAAAAAGTTCACTGTCCCAATCAAAGTTAATATCAGGAGGTTTCTCAAGTAGGGATTCATTGTGGCACCGAATGGCACATCGGCTGGGCAGAAATGAATCTGGTTTTTCTTTATTTCAGGCAAGATGAAGTTTTTCCCCCCCCACGTCGAGCTGCCCTTGGAGACAACTTACAACTGCTCCAATCAGGTCATCAGGTCATAAAAAACTGTAACTTGTGGCAACAGTTCATTTCCATCCTGTGTGCAAAAAAATAAAAGAAATTGAATGGCACTGTTAGACCTTACGCACTGTGTGATAACTACACGTATCTACATGTACATGTATAATTATGTAGCACTTATGGATCATTGATAGGGGCGAGGCCAGACCATAACAAAAAATCCACAAACTTTACTTGTATTATTTGTACATGCTCACATGTACATGTTACATACACGTATGTACATGTACATGTACATGTATGTACATGTACCAGTAAGGTACATACATGTATATGTACATGTAGGCCTACTTGTACTGTGCGTGCGTAAACAATGGTAAGCCTAATGGCATGAAAGTTTGTCATGTTTGCTGCATGTACATTTCATGTACATGTATCCTAATCATAAGTTACATGTACATGTATGCATGATATTGAATATTTACATGTACGACATTACTAAGGAGTTCCATGTTTTTTGCCTTGAGTTAGATTACATGAGTCAGGTGTAACAGGCCAGGGAGACAAAAATGTCACACTTTTGGACCCAGAATTTAGTAAAAAAGTGAAAATACACGTACAAATATATCGGTCATCCAATTCAACAGAAAATTGGCTTAGTTCTGACTTGGAAATGAGATCGGCACATGTAAATAACCGAACACTTGTTTTTTAAAAACTCAACTATTCGGATTTTGAAATACACTCAGTTTCTGCCTACACATAACAAAAATAACAATGCACATGTGCCTGTTATTAGTCAGTCCTGTACTCAATAACATTTTTCCCATGCTGCATGACTTCAAAATGCTCTGACCCATAAAATTCAGCAACATACATGTATGTACATGTACTATTGTACTGATATGCAATGCAGAAATGCATCAGAAAACTCACAATATAGTCTTCCTGAGTGACCCTTAATGTATATGTACACGTACATGTATGTGACATCATATAAGGCTAACTTGGCCAGTGCTGTGCAAAGGTACATGTAGGCTTCTCAATTTCATGACAGTTAATGCACTAGGCAAAGGGGGGTTAGGTCCAACAAACTACATGGGTAATTCCTGCAATTTGGGGTCCATTTTTTTGTGTCCCTGTCACATAGTTCTGAATACATTTTCGAATTTCCAAGAGTGGTGAATTAGTGCAAATTCCCTGCCAAACAAGTAATAATTTGAAATAAATGCTGGTGATACATGTATTTCCTTGTCAAATAACAAAGGTCAGATGTAACAGGGACACAAAAATGTGACACTTTTGGCAGTGCTGTGGTTGAGACTATCACAAGACCAGACACAAGACCAGA